AGAAGGTAATAGGTTAATAATAATAAAATCAAAACCTAGTTTTAACAAAAATGAAATATATAGTCAAATCATTCATTTGTGAATGCAAGAAAATTCGGAGAAATGGTTTTTATATTTTGGTATGTTTGTCATCATTGATCTAAGTGAAATTGTTTTCTTGTTTTAATTTTCTATTTTTCTTTTCTTCTTTCTTTTTTTTTGTATTGTTGAAACAAATAATGCAACTTATGATAGGGAGTTTGAGTCAAACATTGGTCCAAAATCAGCATAACTGTAAGAGAGGCAAGAGAATAATTTGTTTACCATCCTGTACGGTTAATTAAAGAAATTAAAATGAGCAAGTGTGAATTAGGTCTTTTGAAAATAAATTTTTGTGAGGATTGTTTGTATTATAACGAACATCAAGTCTGACAAAACAAAGGAAAAAAATTAGCTTCCCATTGAGAAAATCTTGATGACCTTGTACAAAGAAATTATACTATGAATATCCATTTCCTCTGAATTAAATTAAATACACAATAAACAATACAAATAAATAAAATTAAAATTACTCACGCAGCTGTGAAATCTGCGGTATGAAGTTTTGAGGCTGAAGGGCGTACATGTTGTTTTAAAAAAATATATTCACCAAATTAAAAATTAAACGATTAGATTTTTGAAGATTAAAGTGTATTTTTTTTCAAATGTATATATTTCTTTATGGAATAAAGTTCAAGACGGTGACCGCACAAAGTTCACCTTCTCTTGACCAATTTTTGTGAGTTGACAATTATCTGTTGGCTCCAGGTACACCTGTAGTAGCTCTGCATGCTAACACAAGTGATCATTTAAACGCATCTAGGAAATTATTTTGCCTGGGAAAGTAAAAAACCGACACACTGAAACAGCGAGCACTTTTACTTTCTAAGTCCTTAGGAATAAAACTGTCTCTCCTGAACTGGATTCCGACAAGTCTGGTGGTGAATTGGGTCTGAGAGGCCTTCAAGTTCCCCTCTCCAATTTATTATCTCTCCCCACCAACAACAAATCCAATAAACCCAACGCATTTTGTTTCTGTCCTAGAAAAATTTCATTGGTGGATTTTGAAATTGAACATAAATTTTCCTTTTTTTTTAAACAGTGGTGAGAAATCAAGACTAATTAATCAATTAGCATTTTTGTTTAAGTGATGTCAAATTTGAGGGAATTGACTTATAACTTAAGATTTTATGTTTTACGATGAGACATACATGAACAGAAGATGCGCATAAAAAATCTTTTATTCACTATTTTATCATCCTCTGATCATATTCATGAATTTACAACTGAACGCTTTACAGGAAACTTCACAGCATCTTTCAGAATGCCTGGATTTAAAGTACAATGTGCACTTAATTATAATAGCTGTAAACAATCAAATTATGAAATTATTTAAAAGTATGACCAAACAAAATGCTCCTCATCCAAGTATTTCACCAATTATTCTTGGATTAGAATATTCAACAAGAATTGATGATAATTAATCTGAATCAGATAGAAAGGGCCTTGAGACGTTTGAATGTTTGTAAAGAAATATCTTCGATTTAAATTATAAAATTGAGGACAGCCTGTACGAGGACATAAAAATGTTTGTATAAAAATAAATCAGGAAAACTAAGATCATGTGCTTAAGAATGTTGCAGCTGGTATTCTTCCATTACCGGTATGGACTGAAATGATAATGCAGGACGATTATTACCCTATTTTTATTCAAAATCAAAATTTTAATAAATGTATGACCGTTAATGCAGAAATTACAAACATTAAAAAAAAAATTACAAATAGTTTTGTTCTTTTAAAGATGCGAGGAATCTTTTTCTTAAACTATTTAAGGATAGTTATCACTGTTTACAAGGCAAATATTTTCTTTCTAATTGTTCTCAGATATCAAGAAGCATATACACAATAATTTTCAATACAATGCGTATGTTTCAATGAACTTTACTTTTTTGAATAGTTAAATCTAGTTAAAAGAATTTCTTTTTTTACATTAGAAAAGAACAAAGGTGACAAGAAGGATAATTATTTCATGACCATCCCGTTAGATCTTGCAGAGGAGGTTCATAAGTTGCAAGCATAATTTAAAGGCTTGCTCAGATTCATAATATCAAAGAAAATTCAGAGGGAAATGCCAATTATTTCGACGAGAATTAGATGACTTAAAAATTATAATAATGTATATTTATTATTATAATAATTTTTTAGTTATTTGTTTTCAATGGTCACAATACTAACACTAAGGCCAGTACTGCACCGAAGATCGCATGCTATGAGAAACAGATGGTACTCTGTGTGAAGGATTAATGAACAAGGTCTCGAGGACATCATTAAGGTGATGTGGTGGGTTGTCAGGATGGGAATGTGTAGATAGCTCGAGCAGTAGGGTTAGGAAGAGGTGGTGCGAAACTTTTGGAATCGAGAACATATCGTTTATTGACAAAAGGAATGTTGAGGTCATTATAGATAGTGGGATTAGTGATGTAGTATGCTTTGATTTTTGATCAGAAGGATTGGACGCGCTGGATGTCGATGGCTTGGCATCCCAGTTCCTGGTCGCAGTGTAAAGGTTAGTTTAGTTTTGACGATCAAGTCAGATTTTGGTCCTAGAAATCTTTGTAGTAGTCCAAGCTGTTGTCTCTTAAGTCTTGTGTAAGGGATTCCACATCAGTCTGCTGGTATAGTCCTAAACATCTGACTTACTTGGAGGGCAAGACAGTTTTTCCAATGAGAATTTACACTAAGTACATTTTTCTTCATTCAATTTTATCTTCAACTTTTTGCACCTGTCTTCTAAAAGCTCAAGGTGTTCTTGGGCATCAGAGGTGGCTTGGATAGGATTCAAGTCAAAGGACAAAATTGCATTGTTAGCTAAGTGGTAATTGGGATGTGTAAGTAGGTAAACAGTATAGATACTTTATTGGATGGGACCAAGAATGCCCTTTTGTGGGACACTGGCTTGATTCCGTCTGATTACCAAGAACTCGTTGCCACATCTCATGGAGTAGTAGTTGGTTAGGTAGGATTTCAGGATAAGATAAGGAATGGGTAGGAAGTGTTTAAGTTTATAAAGCTCGGATGCCAGTCTGTGATAAATCTAGGAATACACCCAAGATTAGAATAGATTACATAGGAGCTGGCCTCTTTACAACCTGTGCAACCATGACCAGTATTGGTCTTTTGTGCAACTCCATTTTTTTTTTAATCTAGAGCTCCCCGATAAGCTTGAGGCTTTTTACCAGACCCCAAAGCTTTTTCAAGGGCTCTTATGGGTATTCTTCAGGCTCTGGCTTTTCCTCTCCCAGAATTAGGAATCTCAGCCTACATAGCCTTCAGTCCAATACAGGATATGTTCTACTGTTTCTTCTTGGCAATATCTGCAGCTTATTCCTGCCATTCCGGATCTATACATATATCTCCAGAGTCTGCAGTGTCAAGTTAGCAGTCCAGTTATCATTCTAGTCCTAGCACGTCCTAATTAGTAGATCTGTGATGATCCTTTGATAAATTTTGTTTCACATGCCTCTGTCCTGAGCTACATTCCAATTGAGTAGAGGACATCATTAATCCATTGTCTAATGGATCCGTGTTTTAGACAGTTTGGTAAGGCACAAAAGGGTTCAGGACCAATAGGTGTCCTCATTGAACTTCCTTGGCCAATTTATTGGGCTCTTCATTTCCCCTCTGCCCTGGCACCCAGACACAAGGGTATTTTGAAGTTTTCTCCAACGTCTGATAGGGCTCTAATGCAGTCCCAAATAATACCGAACTTTACCGTCAATTGCCTTGTTCGATCTTGGAATGATGAGATTGAAGCCGAACTAGTGAGAGGGTATGAAGTCTAGTCGCTTTAAAAGTTTTTGTAAGATTTTGGACATATCAGGAAGAAAGCTGATGGATCTGTACATGTTGTTGGGAGGTTGTGTGTATTAGAAATAGAATAGCAACTGTCTATTACCATAAAAAAGGATAGTGAGTGGTTCATAGCATTATATATAATATAATTAAGAAAATATATATAGTAAAAAATTACACAAAAATCTACATATACAACATAAAATCGACATAATAAATACAATAATTATGGAGAAAAAATGTATTGAAGAATAAATACCCTGATAGAATAATAAATAATTTAAACTCACAATTACATATAAATTTGTATACTTGGATTTGTCGGGACATGCAATCATTAGGGATTTCCACGATGAGGAATGTCACTCAGTCAAGTTTAAAATGGTCTCAATTTTTTTTTTAACTTTTTAAAGAAATTATACACCTATGAAGTCATCTGTTGTTCTTTAAACGCTGATTTGCATTTATTTAACTATACATCAACAAATGTTTAAACTGATTGATCACATTAAGCAAAAGAGAGAGAGAGAGAGAAAAAAAAACAATCAAGATCTCCAATATTCAAGAGACCAACTAATCATTTCTTCTGAAGAAATGTCCAAGCTGTCTTCAATATTTTTAAACATTTAGTTGACTGTCAGACTGGTTCTGAATTAAGGATCTTTATCACCTGCTCATTCCTTCATATATCGTATATTTCCGATATAATTGATGATGCTCCATCGACTATAATTATTATACATTAAAAATCGATCAGTGACGAGGCTAATTAGGATGAAAGAAAACACTCCAGTTAAAAGGACAACAAATGCACTCTTTTGTATATTCTCTGAGAGCTTGTTGGAACAATTTTATTTATTTCTAATTGACCTCATCATCCTGTGTCAGTTCTTAATATATGATGATATCATTTATAATATCATGATGTAGAGAAATTTTTCTCTCTCTTTTGTTCAGGCTTTTATGCAATGAAACTGGAGCATTGTTGATGTTTTGCAAATAAAACAATGCGGGGTGTAATGAAGGGTGAAAAAACTTGTTCCCCTTCTGTTCCATATTAATGGAAAACGGCGATTTACATAATAACTTGTTTTGTTTGTCACGGCTTAATGAAAACGACTGTGAATTACCTTCGCTCTTTATGATTCCGTCGATGTCGTCGAGGATCTCTTCGCCGCTCGATAAGCTCCCTTCCGGCGATCCGAGGAGTCCGTGGCTGATGTCCCACTCCTCGCACTTCCACGCGTCTTTTTTCCAAGTGGCGTCCTTCGCCCCCCAAAGCTCCACATCCCCGAGCAGATCAATTCCCCATGAGGGAGGGCTCTCCGGCTCGGTCTTCCAGACCTGGGTAAGCCCTTTGGTAGTATAAGTCTCCATTGTAATTGTATAGTCCAGTTGTCGACCCGACTAACAGTAAAGTAAGTAAAAACGCCATTTTGGCTCTGGAACAGGGAAAAGAAAACGTCCAATTAAAAATTAACCAAAATATAAATTTATAAATTATATAACATGAATATTTTCTGGCATAAAACTTGGTTTGTACTTATAACTTAATTAATATAGAATAATTTTGAATGATGCAAAACATTCCACATTTGTGAGATTCCTACAACATACAGTAAACTCTCGTTATCCACAGGGGATATGTTTTTACTGGAGGTCTTTTAAGATAATTTAAAATATGTCCCAGTCGTTACAGGCTAAAGGATACACCTTCAAAATAATCTTAGAATCAGCCAAATGTAAAATAAAAATTAAGACAAGAACATTTTCGTGATATCTGGCAGCTCAAACACATAGATGGTATGAAAACTTCTAGGGTAACATTTTCAACTGTTTTTTTTTTTTTTTCTTCCCACCTTGGGAAGCCTGGTGAATTTCATTTCACTTCCTATAGTTGTTAATAATTAAACAAACCCAAGTTGATCTAGTTAATTTTATGCATGGGGAACGTTCCTAAACTAAAGCACCTTTGAAACGCCTTGTACCCAGTACTTCGCTCCTATCTCTCAGGACAATCTTCCGAGTCCACCAAGGGTTGGACTACTGTCCTGTGGAAGCACAGAGGAACTGAACAGATGCTTTTTTTTTTTTTTTTTTTTTTTTTTGGATGCTTTGGACTTCTCTTTAAACTACTAGGATGGAAATCTGAATCTAGCTTATCGACAAAAAAGAAACTGACAGAATATTATTGAAACCGATTTGGACACATGGACTAGAACTATGGGGCACTGTTAAACTTACCGATACCCAATGAATTCAGTCCTTCCAATCAAAATGCTCCCCTAAGTCAATGCTCCCTACTATCCAATACCACCCTCCACAATGACCTCAAATAAATTAATCCCCACCAAATTTTATTACCATGATAAACTCTCCATTCACCCCAGCCCACATCTAACATAATCCATTGCTATAATCCCGTCAGATGACTAAAGCGAAAATGGCCCCAGGACCTCCTTGCCAAAGACTAGCCTTGTGTAAGGTTGGGAGAACAACAATTGTTGCTCATTCTCCTCATGACAGTGTACTGTAAATATATATTCCATAAAATTACAAAATGTATTATTATTATACAGATATTAATAAATATTTTATTTAAAAAAAATTAATTATCTTATTTATTATATTTTTATTGGTCAAAATTGTGATATAAGAAGGAGAAAAAATTAACACATATATTGAGATTAGAATGAATGATAATCTTTAACCAGTACGATAAGAAATAGATTTATGAGATTTACATGTCCATCTCCTTTATCTTGTTTGTTACAAAACGAGAATAGAAGATTTGTAAGATTACCGTAATTTATTACAATTTGAGTATGGTCGTTGTGACTGGAGTATGATCGAACTTAAACCGAGATAAAGCGTGTTACCTTGAGGCCAAGAAATTTATTTAAAAAAAAACTCTCCCTGTGACAATCAAATATGCAAATCAATTTGGGCATTATTACCCTTAATGATATGTCTCTGTACGTTTAAAGATAGCATAACAGTTTGTTATCCATAACGGTTATTAACTTGCGTTAAGCCTGGGATAAATTATGCAGCATTCCATCGATTCTTACAAGAGTTCGAATTGCTTTGACCTATTTGAGACAAAAGTACGCTGTAGGGAGAATATTTTCTTGTGCTATGAAATGAGTATGTGTGAAAGGGAAAACTGCTAAGAATTTATATATTTTTATATGTAATTAAACAATAAACATAGTCAAAAATAAGATATAATCTAGAACTATTAAAGAAATATCTTTTCTTGAGACAAGACTTTCCCTCCTTATAATGCAACACTAAATCAATTTACTATGCCAAGCTTTTTTAAAAAATAATTTAAGTAAAGCTATTCATGTTATATTTAAAAATAAATAAATGAAAAACACATTCATAAATGTGGTCATGAAATGTTCTAATAGGTAGATGTGACATATTTAAACTAGTCAATTCTGTACAGGGAAAAATGCCATCCAGATTAATTAAACTGCAATTGATACAGTTAAAATTTAAGATATTTGAAAGGTGATTTATAGTTAGCTGAGTTATCAATAAATGAAGATTTGTGCAAAAAGAAAAAAACACAAAACAGGATGACAATTAAAAACAATACTTAAAAACTTTTTCTAAAACATCCCCAAAAAATAAAAAATCATGAAGAAATTTTTGTGTGCAAAAGATCATAAATGATTGCAATACGAATATAAAAAAAATTGGATTTTTACAATAGATTAATTTGTCAAGTTATTGCAGTAGTCTGTTTTATCCATATTTAATTTGTTTACATAAATATAAAACAAAATTTAAAAAAACAAAAAACTAACAGGTAAAAAAAGAATCCTGAACGTGTTTATTTTCTTTATCACCACGATAATCAATGCGTCATCCTTTAACTTTGCTAAATAACCAAGCCAATATTTAAAGTGATTACTCATATAAAGGGAATTTTCTTGCTATTTTAACAACCAGGATCTTTGTTAAGCACACTGAAGCTTTAGCCCTATGGAATCTCTTTATTTAAAATCTGATCAATATTCTCTTTCTGAATTAATGATTTACTTGGGACTTGCTACTGTTTGAATTAAAAAAAAGGAAACAACGAATCTCACTTATACCCGTATTATTTCCTAGATGATGAAAGTCTGGATTGGTTTATTTTTAATATTAGCATTGCTATCCCTTGTCGGTAAATGAATAACTGCTTAATTACATGTAACATGAACATACATTTCTACCCTAAATTGACTTTTAAAAAAAATTTGTTGCTAGTTTATAGTCACAATAAATTAAAATACCATTGCCAATTTTAAGACATTGATATAATCCAATCTAGTGTTCTGCCAACTATGGAATATTTATTTTCAACATATATACACTGTAAATTGTTCATAAGTACAAAAACTATTTAGTTTTTAATGTTTTTAAATATAGACAAAAGAAAGGACCGTTTCTACCAAAATCTGGCATCAGGAAACACTTCTAATAACAGGACAATTTTATTTGCCATGACATTATTTCAATTATTTTACTAACTAGGGTGTTTTTTTTTTAAAGCAGACATCAAAAATAAAACTCAGGATTCCACAAATGTCATATGACTTGTAGACAGTAATGTTTCTGGAAGTCTCACACCCCTCACAACTCTTGCATATCCTAGGTCAGTCTCAGATTGTGAATGTGACAAACCGATTAAGGTTCATTCTGATGGAGAAAAGGGTCCAAGTCGTACAAGTCCATTAGAAAAAGAAAATTAGATTCAATTGAAATTTTTAATTCAATTAGTTTTTGCTTTCACTTAACTAACCTAAAGTTTTTTTTTCTCTAATTTGATTGCGGCCTGTTTATCCTCAATGGGTTGGTCTTCAGACGAATTTATGCATTTTGCCATTTTCTGTCTCGGTCCACAAGAGGAAATATCACAATTTAATATTTTTTCTATATCTTGATTCTAATAATAAGCAGACAAAATTGTGCTATAGTGTCCGCTTATAAAAAGTTCAGCTTTAATGCTAGGTAATTTTAAAATTTCAGCCTCATATTGATTAGTAATAGCTGCATCAACCTGTACAGTTAATTAATTTTGTTTACACTCTTTGGACTGGGAGGTCAGATCTGTTCCAATTTTGCCTTGACCTCACCAGACAAGATAGTATTCATTATAGTGACCATTGTGCTACAGTCCATTTTGCCCGTCTGTTGGTGTTGAAATTTTTTCCTTTGGTATTACATTCTTCTTTGTGACTGCATCGGTTATTCTCAACAAATTGGTGATATCTATTGTTGGTGGCCGCAATGGCTAGGGCATTGAAACTGCGACTAATCACTGTAAGGTAGAGGTCTTGGGTTCGATTCCAGCGGCCCTGACTTCAAAACTGGCATACTTACAATTTTTTTTAAACACCAGCAGGGGTTCATATAACCTCATACTTGAAATACCTTGGTGTAAGGAAAAAACTGATAATATTAACTAGACCAAAATTCTTGCTTTTTGTAAAATAAATGCCATCTAAACGTTATTACAACAAATCTAGACATACGGGGTGAAACCATGCATTCCATTAAAGAATCTAGCCACTACAGCTTAAAATTCTTTGAACCATTGCCCCAAGCTTTCTAGTACCGATCTTACTATCCACACAGATGTCTTCAACCCATTTGTCTTCAAAACCGCAAGAAGTCAATACAGATGCATCTATGTTCTGGACTCTTGAAACCTGATTCATCCTGAACGCTGCTAGACGATCCTGAAGACCGAGGAACGAATTGTCTCTCTACTCTTATAATTTTAAAATATAAAGTTTATAAATAAAATAAAGTTGCTTGTAGAACTCTTGCAATAAAAATAAATTATTAGCATTTATTATTATGTCAGCCAGCAATGACTGTTTCATCCTGTTTAATGCATACCCATTGTGTACTGTATATTGGCAGAAACAAAAATTTAGTTTTCATTTTTCCTTTTGTTTTAAATTAATATATTTTTGTGGTCAAATTAAGCTGGAATTTAATTAAATTTGTGAATTGGGGGGGGGGGAGCTTTATTTCTAATCGGCTTTAGCACTATTTCTAAGCGTGTACACGTGTATATTTCCGAACAAATCTATACATACGGAACCATGGGTTTCAACCATGCATTCCAACCTCCAAATAATCCAGCCAATCCAGTCCAAAATTCTTCGAACCATTGCCCCCAAGTTTTTTAGTATCAACCTTTCTAACCACCCAGATGTCTTCAACCCATTTGTCTTCAAAACCGCAAGAAGTTGATACAGAAGCATCTATATCCTGGATTCTTGTATCCTGATTAATCCTGAACCCTACCAGGCAATTCTGAAGTCGCCTAAAGCGACAATGACCAAGGAATCCTCTCATCTCTTATAAGATTAGAATATGAAATTAACAAATAAAATAAAGTTTCTTATTAAGCTCTTGTAATAAAAATAAATTATCAGTCAGCAATGGCTGTGCTTCATCCTGTTTAATGGACACCCATTGTGTACTCTACTGGCAGAAACAAATTTTTTTGCATTGTTTGCATTTTTTCTTTTTTAATTTATTCTTGCGGTCAAATTAGGCTGGAATTTAATTAAATTTGTGAATTTAGGGAGGTACAGCCGGCTTTAACGCTATTTCTAAGCGTGTACACGTGCATATTTCCCAGGTGGAGTACTACTAAATAGAAACGTATTGCAAAGGGGTCGAGGATAAAAATAAATCCGAACGGGCCCGCTCGAATCGATTCACAGCGTACGAAGCGTCTGTCTGCTGGGAGTCAAAATATACTTTACCTGGAACAAAAGCAAAAAAAAAAAAAAAGGCGAAAAAACTCTTACCGCATTTTTTAAAAATTCTCTCTCTTGCACACTAAGTGCGCGTAGCGCTTTAGAAAGCTTCTAGAATCCCATTTTCAGCCTGTGTTGAAAAGTGGAGAAAATAACGTTCGACTATTACGGGACATGGGTAGAGAATGGGATAGTCCATCGATCCGCCGCCAGGCATACCCTTCGACGTCGACCTTTCTCGACATACTGTATTCATACGCATCAAAAAAATTGAAAATACACAAAAAAACTATATTTCAATATATTTGCTTTTATAAAAAAAACCTTATTAAAAAAACATTAAACTTCTGCCTTTTTTTAAGTCAGAAATAAACGATTAAAAAGATAAATTCTTTTTTTGAACGTCATCGCGGTTCTACTTTTTTCTTGATCTGGAACGCGCAGCTTATTGCGTCATCTGGATGATCCCCCTTCTCTTGGGCCACCAAAAGGTGCGGGCCGCCTATTGGGTCTCAATTATTTATTGTGAAATTGGCCAGACTAGGCAAAAAAAAAGTCGATTTCGTTCCTATTTCTAAGAAATCGTTATCCGATGTATAATTGATTCTACTTTTCCCCAGGAAGTCATTATTGAACACGTGGTTTTTGACTATATTCTAAAACTCACTGAGGATTATAAATTTTAAAAAACTCTTAAGTTACATTATAATGAATCCATTAAAGTTCGTGGTCCGATTGACCAATTAACTTTTTTCAATTAATTAATCTTTATGAAACGTATTGGTTGAGAATGTAATGAATAATATAACGAATATATAATATAATGAATATATAATAATCCCATGCTGATGTTCTTAGGACTGAAAATATTTAATCTCATTTTCAGATCTGTATTTTGAGCCTTTGAGAAGATATCGAGAGTTAAAACGTGATTTTTGTGAAAAACCATTTGCAGGAATTCAACTCTTCAATACTTGATTACATAATACAAAAGAACGATAGAGTTTTTTCCCCTCTTGTTGATTTCTTATCTTCTAGAGAATTTTTAAATACTGTTATGATATTGAGAAGGAGGTGAAAGGCTGTCTGGCAAGTTTGACGACCCGGTTTGAAATGATTTTCACCGTTATAATAGCGAAGGATGTCGAGCTTTTATGTATTAAGATTTTTTTTTTTGGGGGGGGGGAGTAAGGATTTATTTAGAAAGCTGATAAATTTTTACGGAAATTATTTACAGTTTACATTAAATATCACGTTCTTTGTGGTTTAGGAAGAGTTCTTTTCAAAAATCATCACAAGTTGTACAATTTATCCTTAATTTTATATTCTGTACATGTTGTACTCATTAGTAACTTTTAACGAACAAAACAAACTTATACCATGAATATTCTCATGGCAGTCATGCTCTGTCTCTGTATGTCTCTCTCTCTCTCTCTCTCTCTTTCTATCCCTCCCTCACTCTCACTCTCTCTCTCTCTCTTTCTCTCCCTCTCACTCTCTCTCACCCTCTCTCTCTTTTTCTCGCCCTCTCTTCTCTTCGCTTCTCTCTCTCTCACTCTCATTCTCTCTCTAAATCTCTTCTCTCTCTCTCACTCTCTCTCTCTCTCTTTCTCTCCCTCTCTCTTTCTCTCCCTCTCACTCTCTCTCTCCATATATCTCTCTGTCTCCCCCCTCTCTCTCTCCCTCTCTTCTCTTCTCTCTCTCTCACTCTCATTCTCTCCCTCCCTCCCTCTCTCACTCACTCCCTCCCTCTCTCTCTTTCTCATTCTCTCCCTCTCTCTCTCATTCTTTCCCTCTCACTCTCTCTCTCTCCATCTCTCTTTCTCCCTCTCTCACTCTCTCTCTCTCTCTTTCTCTCCCTCTCCCTCTCTCTCTCCCTCTCTTCTCTTCTCTCTCTCACTCTTTTCTCTCTCTCCCTCCCTCTCTCACTCCCTCCCTCTCTCTCTCTTTCTCTCCCTCTTTCTCTCCCTCTCTCCCTCTCTCTCTCTTTCTCTCCCTCTCCCTCTCCCTCTCTCTTTCTCTCCCTCTCTCTCTCTCTCTTTCTCTCCCTCTCTCTCTTCCCCCCCCTCTCTCTCTCTCTCTGTCTCTCTCTCTTTCTCCCCCCTCTCTCTCTTTCTCCCCCCCTCTCTCTCCCCCTCTCTATCTATCTATCTATCTAGCTAGTTAGTAATCTTCTTTTATTTCTTTTGTACCTGTTCTCTTTCACTCACTTTTTTTTCTCGTTGATTGTAAAGGAGGTTGTTTGAGACCTAAATATGCAAGATTTTTTTAATAAATAAAATGATATTCATTCATTCTCTTTCTCACCCATTTTATTTTAATTTTATTTAATTTACAGGAGAGTCCCATAGAGCAATACATTTTTGTGAATAACATTCGTCACTAGCATAAAGCTTTATTTTCTCACTTATTATGGTGTTTTTAATTTGATGTAAGCTAGAGAAAAACCAATCAATATTAAGTTCATTCCCTTCCAGCATTAGTCTGTTTATTGCCATGTATTTCGTATAGTTGGTTTGACTAGGAGTAGGACAAAAAGTCTTAACTATCCTCAAATTAAATTGCGGTACATGAAGTCTTACACATTCAAGCACCTTGGGACTATCCACTTTAGAAAGTAACAAGTTTTGGAGGAACAGCAAGTCAATGAGAAATCTTCTATCTTCCAATGAGAGGATACAAATTTCATTCAAAAGTGGACCATACTTATGAGGTTCTCTTTTAATTTTTAATTTAAATGCTGCAATTCTTAAGAACTTTTTTTGTACTCTTTCAAGAAACAAAGTAGTCTTATTGTACATAGGGGCCCAAACTACCTTATTCAAGGATTGGTCTCACATATGAATAATATAACACTTTCAAGACTGTCTAATGACTTGCAACAAATCCCAACTTTTTTTACCATTAGTTTGAATTTTGACATCGTTTGCAAACATTTTTAAGTTACATGTATGCAGATTGTTAATAAATATTTTGAACGGTAAAGGGGCCAGATGTCCACCTTGTGGTACCCCTGAAGTTCTATTTATCTTCTTTGACTTAAAATTAACACATTTTACAATTTGCATGTGGCCCTTTAGGTATGATTCAATCCACTGAACAATGCCAATGTCTAAGTCCAAGTCGCATAGTTTATTCAGTAAAATTGAGTGTTCCACCTTATCAAATTTCAAAAATCAGTGTAGATCCACGTGTTCATTTTTATCAAAAGCTGACAAAACGTCTTGTTGAAAGCAAAGGAGATTCGTAGTGGTAGAACGCCCTGCTATAAAACCATGTTGATCATTGACTACAACTGAATTTAATTTAGGTGTTAACATATCACAGATTATACTTTCAAATACTTTAACAATATCACAGAGTTTAGAAATAGGCCTATAATTTATAATTAATTTACAATCTCCCGATTTTAGAAATGGGATAACAACTTTTTTACATAGATCAGGAACCTTCATATCGCGGATTGACTTATTAAACAGTAGTGTTAATGGTCTCCCTATCTCAGTGGCACACTTTTTTAAAAATATGGGTGCGATCATATCCGGACCAGCAGACAATTTGACATTAATTTTTCTAATTTATCAACTACTTTATCACAGTTTATTATCATAGATGGATTGTTTTTTTCTTCTTACTAATAGTCAAGTTTTCGTTAGCGAGCATTCACCCTCCATATATACAGATGAGAAACGATCAGCGAATGCATCACGTATTGAAAATCCATCTTCATAAGTTTCATTTTTGTAATGCATTTGATGGGGGATACCATGGTCATACATACTTTATATATACTGTATATAAGTGAATACATGTATATTGAATTTAACATTTACATAATATAAATTTTTTAAGAGTGTATTTCAACTACGAGGTTATATGAACCCTCATGGTGCTGGTTTTTTTTGTTGTTGAAAAAAGCCCATCTGCATATTTGTAGAACAATATTAATAAATAATTTGTTGGAGTGTGAAGAGCGGTCGAGAATGAGGTAGTTTATAAAAACACCTTTTTCATTTTTTTCCTGACGTTTTGACCTTTATTCAGGTCATCTTCAGAGTATAAAGGTGCCATATTTTTTATAGCGCCATATTGGTTTTGTGTGAAATTGTCGTGCACAATTTTAACTGTGTTGTAACAATTTCAAAACCAATACGACACCACAAGAATATCACCACACTTAATATCCTGAAGATGCCCTGAATAAAGGTCAAAACGTCGATAAAAAAATGAAAAAGATGTTTTTCTACTATATCTCATTCTTAACCGCTCTTCGCCACTCCCACAAATTATTAAACAACCCGTCACTATAAAAAACACACAATATTAATTAAATTTTAACTAATGGAGAAAACGACAGCTTTCACATGCAAATTATGTATATTTGCATAATATACGCTATTTGTGTAGAACAGAGTTTCATGAACGTATTGAGAACCATTCACAAATATGCGCTGATTGATTTTTTTAAATACAACGTAGATAATGGCAGTAAATGTGTACCAATTTGCGAATAATTTTTAATGTCGATTTTGTTCACGAATCTGGCTTCTCCAGTGGACTTCAAAGGATTCGATTTGAGGACAACAATCCAAATATTTTGTTTCGGCATAATTTCAGCTTAATGACTCGTCTACCATTTCAAAATGGTTTCACTTAAAAAGAGAAAGTCAATCAGACATTTGCTTTGGTCAATTTATCTTCTTAATTTGTAAATAATATTAACAATTAGTTGCTATTTCACACTGTTTAATTATGTAAGGTTTTTGCTAATTTATTATAGCTTACTTGTTTTGGCACAGTGTAACTTTGAAAATAATGATTGGGTAGGGAAATTTGCTAGAGTTGTTTTGATTGCATAAATAATTTATATGTATAATAATAAATTTTATTTAAATGCAAAAGCAGCATTATTGCATTGGTTGTAGAACTTTATCAAGTTTTATTTTATAAATGCAGAATTGTTGCCCTGTGTCATCAGCTGGGGTTGCTTTTGAGCTCGGTCCTCTTGATCCAGCAGAGTATATTTACCCATATGAACGAGCACGTCGCTACGTAAACAACACGCGCCATGGGAGGAACAACGAGGAAATTGATGGCCTGGGCAGGCAGCCAGAAACCACAGCTCGTCTGGAATGTCGGTACGAATTTTTCCCTCAGCTCAGCCAATAGGTCGTCTTTGCCTTCCATAATGCTCATACCTTGGAAAAAAATTAATATAATTGAATTGATTCTATTTGCTCCACTTTTTAATCTATCAGACAAATTTAAAAAAAGCGATGGTTTAACAAAAAAAAAAAAAAAAAAAAAGAACATCAGATCCAATTAAGATATTCACGGGTAAAGAGTTATTTAATTAAATCTTATAAATATCGGCAGCAATCTTTCTTTTACAATGGCTTTTCAAGTGTTGCTAAAAAAAAATCATGCTTAAAATGATACGCAGAAAATATTAAGTTAAATTAGTACTTAAATTTTTAGCGTAGAAGCCTGATTAAAATGAATATTTAAACTGAATGCCTTTTGAAGTAAAATATTGAAAAAACAAAATGTCTTTATTAATGTTACATATGACATGAATAATCGGCAAGTATCTACAAGTCGGTGCATTTAGTTCTAATAAATAAATTTATTGATAAATTGAAATAAATTGTACTTAAAAAAATTAATGATTTGAAAGCAAGTTGAACGATCATGTTGGGCCAAGTAATTTTATTCTTGGACAAATCTCTCAAGTCGAGTTCAATCACCATTTCATATCAATTCTTGTGTAATGTGAACAGCACTTGAAAAATTATCAATAATAATTAATTACCTTGCAAAAAAAACATGTTTAACTCTTTTTCAATATCAAAATCAAAATCTACAATTGTTTCTTACTAGAAATAACAAGAAATTATTAAGTAAAAACATTTTCCAAAATAGGAAAACAAATTTAACTGTTAATGTTGGGAAACATCCATATTTTTTTTTATTTTTTTACGAGGGTTCGCAACAGCAGAGGTCATATCAACCCTCCGGGTGCCGGTGTTTTTGAAAAAAAGCCCATTTGTAAGTATGTCGGGTTCGAATGCAGGGCCGCTGGATTCGAACCCGGGACCTTTTTCTTACAGTGATGAGCGCCATGTCAAAGAATAAAACTTGCGGCCACCGACGCCCCCTAACATTCATATTCTTGCTGTTCTTTGTTTTAACTGTTATACCTTTTAACATAAACTATGTAAAGGAAAAATAAAAGAACTGTGGGATCAATGATAATTATGATAAGATAGAAAGAATAGTCTGATGATTGATGATCACTGAAACAGACAAATTTCAATCAGATGATTTATTTATATGTAATCGAAGAGAGTTAGTTGTCTACTACTTAATATCACAAGTACAGTTGGAATAAATTAAGCACAAAGAAAAAATAGGTAAAGTTAGTAAAAAAATATGAGAAAAATGTTAAACATACATTAAAACAGCTACAAACAACAAAAACAATGTTTAAAAATAGTAAAATGTTTCATGCTGAATCTAAGTTATTAATAAAGAACTTGCTCAAGTGAAAGCGATGCGTTACTTACTCAAGTAAAATGCAGCAAGGAAAGGTGGTGTCATTAGGAACTGGTGCAAAAGGAGTTTGACCGCAATGCTTTTCAGGCTTTTCCCAGGCACTTTTCTTTCCAGCCATATGAACCTAAGCAGGTCCTGACCGTTAGTACTGTTCTGTACTTACTCACATAGAAGATGGTGAGTAGCTGGGGCGTGAGGACGAATTGGTCGAGGAGCAGCTTTTTCGTAACGATTTTCATCGACGCACCGACAAAATTCCTGTCCAACCATCTATACCTTCATCGGCCAGATAATGTAAATTGGGCCTTGTAAAAAATAAAATAAAAATTGATGCCTTTTATTAATACTTACCAGAAATATAAGATATTGGAATTGATGCAGGATCCGACTACGGCGTACCTCACAAGCATCGCTTTGTCAATAGGCTCAGGGGGTTCTTTTCTGTCCTAAAATATAAAAAAGTAATAATTTGAATAAATTTGTTTAAAATTAAAAACTACCACCGAAGATTATTTTTCAAGTGATTTTTGTAAAATGCATGATAGATTTATGGCAAAATATTATTTAGTAGTAAAAAGCCATTATTTTTAAGTTAAAGACATGATTCTAGATATTTTAGTTGTAAGAAGGATATAAGTAGGGAAAGGCAAAATGAAAAAAAATCACTTTATACAATTACTAAGTATTAGTTATTACATTAACAATAAAATGTATTTTTATGTTTGTTTTAGAAATAATTGTAAAAGTTATTGAACTTTTCCTATCATAGAAATATTCCCTATTAGTTACCCAAGTTGGTCTGGAAAAAAAATATCTTTTCCGATGGGCAAGGAGTTGATTTTGAAAAAAGATGCAGAAGCTTTTCATAATTCAAATTGAAAGCCTACTTTAATTAAGTTTGTGCTTACAAAATACCGCTTGTTGACCATCTGCTGTGAAAACTCGGCGGTGACGCACATCCCTCCGTACACAGCGGAATTGGCGAGTAACGGGTATTTCTGGAAAATGTACTTGACCCTCGACATCGCCATGTTTAAGCCTGAGAAAAATTAAAAAATATTAATTGAATATTTGAATATTAACTATCACTACAAAAAGACAAAAAATTAATAAGTTAGACCATTTAATTAATATTCATAATCAGTTAATTGGCATGTTTTTATAATAGATATAAAATGCATGTAGATTTATGCCACAGTTTGCAATCATAAATATTTACCAAAGGGGTAATTGCAATTAAGAGGAGAAAGTTAATATATTTAATTTCAATTTAATTATTAACACAAGAAATGAGTTAAACTAATTAAAAACCATTAAATTATTAGGCTAGGGCATTATATATGTTTTGCTTTATTGTTCTTACAAATGTAATAATATTGTACGACTAATAAAATTGTTCAATTATAACATTTCATATATTACACTTCATTGTATAGTCATGAAGGTACTTCATTTTCTATAAATGATGAAAAACATTAAAAAACACAACTAAACATTATCCTAATAAATACTGTAATAAAATAAATTCTTTTTTGAAGGTTACATTCCCAATTCTGTGTTAAGTTTGTCAATGGAGTGAAAGTATTTATTTGTGTGAGTGGTAAGAAGGTGGGCAGTGGAAAATCAGTGTGAACTAAAATGAAATTTATATTCAGTGTGTCTGCATACGCTTTTAGGGGAAAAAAAATATGTGGAGCGAATTGTCAATTGATGATTGTCATTGATGTCCTTCTCTCCATATTAATAATCATACATTCACTGGAGTACGATTTTTTTAATATAAAATAAACAAAAAACTTTGGCTATAAAGTAATCGCAAAAATCTTTTCTTTTTTGAAAGTGGAATAAGTCAATTCCTAATAATTATAATTTAAAAAACTTCCTTATTGCAATTATTATTATTACAGCTTCAGTGGGCATTGCACTTTAGAAAATATTACTTAGCTAGTTCTAGTTACCTAAAAACAACATCGTTAACAAGATAACGATATTATTATTGTGATGAAGTGATGAGAAGTAATTTCACTGATTTTGTTCAGTTTTCTTTCGCATGTCCTACTGTTTGGTTTGCATCTTTTATACTAACTTACTGCATGACTATTATTTAAATATAATTGTTATTAACCAAGAAAATCATAGTTTAAGATAAATAATATTTCGTACAGTTGTTACAATGAGTTTGCATTCCTATAAAAAAGACAATAATATGTCTATTTCGTCTGATAGTGATGTTGGTAAGTGCAATAAAAATTTTCGCAGAACTATTGACTTTTTTTATTTTAGAAATACAACCGAGTGACAAAATTATAGACACACCCCTAATTGTTATGATTTTTTTAATGTAATGGGTTTGTACTACAAATATTTATTCAAAACACATGAAATAAATATTTTTCTTCATTAAACTTTAATTTTTCAGTAAATAAGAGAAAAAATGATTAAAATACTAAAATTAAACGATTTTCTCGAACGTTAAAATTAAACGAATTCTGCGACAAAATTATAGACACACGGGATAAAATCAATTTAAAACAAGGTTATAATATTTTGTGGCATTACTACTCAGTTTTATTATTTCCAGTAATCTTTCTGGAATGGTTTTGTACAAATTTTGAATAAAATCTTGAGGCAAATTATTCCAGGCAGTGGTGACAGCTGTTTTAAGTTCATCGACAGATTTGTACTGCTTACAGTCTTGATATACCATCCTCGATAATTTTCCCCATACATTTTCTATAATGTTCAAGTCTGGTGAGAGTACAGGCCATTCAAGTTTTTCAATGCTGTTCTGCGAAAACCATTCTTTAAAAATTTTTGCATTGTGTATGGGTGCGTTGTCCTGCTGGAATATTTGACTCCTTTCGCATAAATCACTGAAACTAGTTTTTTTCCTTGTCCAGTAATTTCTTGTAATATTCCGAATATACTTTTTTTGAAGAAAACAAAGATTCCCTTTTTTATTACACCCAATACACCCACAAATCATCAAAGATCCACCACCCATTTGGCGCCGTGACAAAATTTTTTCTTCTTTAGTTAGATCATGAAAGTAGTATGCTAAACGTCTGGGCCGTCCAAATTGAATTTTTTTTCGTCAGAAAAAATAACTTTTCTCCAATAATCTTCATTTTTCAAAATGTGGTTTTCAACAAATTTGACACGGGCTAGTTTGTGGTGGGGTTTCAGAGCTGGTTTGCGTTTCAGTTTTCTTCGGATAATGTTTCCCGTTTTTTAAGGAATCTCTGAACAGTTCGAACAGAAACATCAACACCTGCCTTCTCTGCGATGGCTTTTGCAGTTGAAAAGCTGTTTGAAGCAACGCGCAGGATGTGCGATTTGTCTCTTCTGGTCAAGGAAGGAGGTCTTCCAGAGCTATGCCTTCTTCATTTTATGCGTCGGGCAATATATCGACAGCTCATTCCATCTTCATTCATCAAGTGAATCAACCGGCGCTCCTCATCAGAAAATCTTCTTCCTTTGGGTATTTTAAAATAACTTTGAATTGCTCCAAATGAACTCACAATAATCACTTTACTACGGCTACTACAGTGAATACTGAATAAACCTTAGGAGTTATAAAATAAACGTAAACAAAATGTGTGTCTATAATTAATTTAAATCTAAATCTTTAAGCTAAATCTAAACAATACTGTTTATTGAGATGTACATTTGTATAAGATTATCAGATCAAGCCATTTCCAGAGTTAATTTTCTTTTAATATCATGAACAATATTCTAATGGCAAAAGAAAACATTTTTGACTGTTGAAATCGTGATTTTTTAATGTGTCTATAATTTTGCCACTCGGTTATAAAACCCACGAATATTAGAAAAAAACAGACAAATTTATGAATCAGATGAGGAAAGCAGTTTAAGCAATATTAATTCATAATAATTAAGATCATTAGAATTTTGAATTAACTATTCAACGACTGACGAAGACGGCGTTACTAATTTTCGGTCACATTATGAAAATAATGATCAGAAAAGTAGGAAAATCAAAAGAAATAAAGGTGAAAAAGTGCTATACAAAAATTGGAAGTATTATTCCTGCAAAGAAATTTGATATGATGAATTTACTGCCTTATGTACCACCCACCTATTTACCATGAATAATTTATTATGCTAACTGTAAATAAGAAATAATATTAAAATATACATTTTTTTCATGTTTAGTTATCTTAAAGAAGTAATTTATATTTTACGCTTGTTTAATCATAACTAACTAATTTTTAAAATATTAATTAATATATTACTATTATTATTAAATTTAAATAACTGAAATTAATTAAAAAATCCATTACAATCAGTGAAGCCAATGTCCATTCAAATATGGCCTAAATTTCATCTTGTTTTTATTTCTTATAGTGTGTTATTTTTGAAAATGTGAAAACTCCATTTGGAGTAAAAAAAATTATTTTTTAAAATAATTTTAATAGTTATTATAAACTTTAAAATGTGTATAGTGCTAAAAATATCACTCGAATTGATTATGTTTGCTAATATTTTTAAATTAATACAAAAGCAAACCCTTAAATATCTCGTTACATGAAAAAATAGATTTATACTTTCAAATATAACAGCTCAAATGTAAATAAGGAAGGAGTATCAAGAAAGTTTTTACTGTGTTCAATAAATTTCATATTGGGTGGAATTCCCACTCGCTCCCTATATGGATCCAAGGATATCTCAGAACCACTCACAAAACCCGCCAAACCATTGAGAAATAAGCAAATGAATGAAATGATCAATGTAGAAAGCTTTTCTTCAAATTTAAAATGAACTGAGGGAAGTCAACTTTCTACAGTTCAACAACAATTATCAATTCCTACTCACCCTCTACATGGAGCAAAGTCAATCTGACAAAACATTTAAGCCAAAACGTGAGAAATCAGCAATTAATGCAATATGGAGAACATTTCCTCCAAAATAAAATAAAAGATCAAGAAACGTGTTACTGTGTTAAAAAAACAACTGTAACCTTGGGTGAAAATCCTACACGCTCCATATATGGAGCTGAGGCTATATCAGAACCATTTAAGTAAAAATATGGGATAACAAAATGCTACAAGGTGGAAACCCTCCGAATTGAAGGAAAAGGGCTCAAGAAATTTGCTACTATGTTCAAGAACAATATGTCATATTGGGTAACACGCCTACTCGCTCCCTATACGGATCCAAGGCATAAAATCCTCCCAGGGCATATTTCCCTAGCTCTGCCTACGGTCAAATCTTGAAACTAATGATTTTCACAATTTACAAGCGATGCAACACAATCTAACTGTGCGCATTTTTATCTATGATATGACTGCTTTTAGAATTTCGACAATGCGCAGTGAATGGAGCTGAAACGAGAAAAAATCAGCGAGTATGGACGGACCCTGCTGTATCGTTTTTCTTTGTAATTATGTTCTTAGCTACGTTGTAAACTCAGGTGAAGTTTAGTGATAACCAGCTGTGAATAAGTAATCAACATGGTAAAGATTTGTTTTATTATGAAACTCCTTAGAATAGGAAAGTTTAAATGAAGACATTTTAGATTTTTTAGGTATGACTTTTGTATAACACAAGTACAAAAACAAGATAAGATACTTAATTTCATGACAATAAGTATTCATACAGAATTTTTTTTTTTATAGTTGGACTATAATCCGACGATACTGTGATCTAGTCAGATGTCATCAATAATGACGTGAATGTATGACACGTGCGATGGAGTGTTGTTCTTGTTCAAATTGCAACCAGTTATGATGCCGACGGTTCAATGCCAAACTCGATATCCCACAATGATATCTCTTCGTTGCACAAGGCTAATGATTTTACAGAATTATTCAACAACAGTATTGTTCTACCGTTGGTAATAAAAGAAACATTTTTGTGTGCAAACGAAGAAAAATGTATATTTACACTTGTTTATAACATGTCAGCTTTTGTTTCCTAGTCAACAAGAACCTTGTTTAAACGATGAATAATGTTTTCAAGAGATAACAGACTAGATCGACCATACATAATATGTTTATTATTAAAACTGAAAATCTTACTTAAATATGAAGATTACTTCATTGAACAAACCTGAGAATCCTAAGGCAAAATAAAATATAAGAATATAAGATTTTCCTTCACATCATCATCTTTGTTGCTTAATAAAAAAAGGAAACCAGAAAGAAAAAAATACGGAAAATATCCGCGCATTATTTGCCATCATTGTTCTTTGTGCCATCAGTGTACTGCAAACGAGTCACCAGAAAAATTGGCTTGATGCTTAAAACTAATTTAAAGTCCTGATTTTTCCTTAGAAAGACCGTACAATCAAGTATATGTGTGTTTACTTTAAAAAAAAGTAAAATGATAATTTTATTCTTTAAAAATGCACATATTAGATCCATTGTTGTTATATTGCATGTAATCTCGACAATCCTTGGCTCTTACAAATATGATAAATATAAGCATAGATTTTTAACACATGAGCCAGTTTCCGTTTAGAAGAAATAATCGATTCTTAAGGTTTGAAATTTTTTCATAGAGTGAAAGTATCTATTAGCGTGATAGTGTTGTGGATCAAGGACAATTGGTTGGTACAATTGGTATTTCAGAAGGAATATTTTGACATTATGTACAATGCATCTAGAAAACAATTATGTGTCATTCCTTGGCTCCATATAGGGAGCAAGAAGGAATTCAACCCAACATGAAAATTGTTGAACAACCCGTTCATTTTGTTTTGTAAGAAAGGGTTTTCAAATTTCTGGCAATTCTGTCTCACTGTTTTGCCTTAAAAAGTTCTGAGATCGCGTTGGTTCCATATAGGGAGCGGTTAGGAATTCCACCCAGTACGACGTTTGTTTTGAACACGTTTATCGACCTTTTGCCCGTTTATTTAAGAGAAAATCGTCCCAATCATCAATTTGCTTATTCCTTAAGTTTTGATTTAAATAGCTAATCTTGGCTCCGAATAGGGAGCGTGTAGGAACACAATAAAAATTTCCTTGACCCCATTGTTCCTTTTATTTCGGAAGAAACCGTTTCCACATAGAATACATTTTTCTATTTCACAATGTTTTGACATAAACACTTCTGAAATTGAATGTATTTGTAAAATAAATTTGAAATTAACTACTACACGGCTACCGTGGCTCAACGTTTTTCGCCAATTGTGTGAATGCCTTGAAAACAATTATGTGTCATGCATTGGCTCCATATAGGGAGCAAGAAGGAATTCAACTCAACATGAAAATTGTTGAACATCCCGTTCCTTTTGTTTTGTGGGAAAGGGCTTTCAAATTGCTGGCAATTCTGTCTCACTGTTTTGACTTAAAAGGTTCTGAAATTGAGTTGGTTCCATATAGGGAGCGGGTAGGAATTCCACCCAGTATGACGTTTGTTTTGAACACGTTTATCGACCTTTTGTCCGTTTATTTAAGAGAAAATCGTCCCTAAATTGCACCAATTTGCTTATTCCTTACGTTTTGATTTAAATAGCTAACCTTGGCTCCGAATAGGGAGCGTGTAGGAACACAATAAAATTTCCTTGACCCAATTGTTCCTTTTCGGAAGAAACGGTTTCCACATAGAATACATTTTTCTATTTCACAATGTTTTGACATAAACACTTCTGAAATTGAATGTATTTGTAACATAAATTTGAAATGTGCAGTGGAAAAAATTCGATATTAAACTACTACACGGCTACCGTGGCTCAACGTTTTTCGCCAATTGTGTGACTGAATGTATTTATTAGCGCGAAAGTGTGACCATATACCTTAACTATATGATTTCTGTACAATATGACATAAAGGTCATGGGTTGAAATGTCATGATGTTTTATTCAATTTACTAGATTGATCTATGATTTTAAAAAACCTAAAATGCAGACGAGTATCCTATTAAATTATGAAGTTGCATCGTGTTTCAAGGTTTAAACATAATTTATAAATGTAGAATCATGTGATTTAATAATTTAAAACAACATGAAAATTATTTTGAATTTAGTTTCATTATAAACAATTAATTAAGGTTTTTAGTTGAGATGAAAAAAAGTTAATGGCATGAGCGGGATTCGAACCCACGATCTTCGGCTAGATACGCCGCTGCTCCACCACTTGAGCTATCGTGGGTTGAGATAGGAAGTTGATGTCCGAATGGATCGAGGTCACGATAGCTCAAGTGGTAGAGCAGCGGCGTATCTAGCCGAAGATCGTGGGTTCGAATCCCGCTCGTGCCATTAACTTTTTTTCATCTCAACTAAAAACCTCAATTAATTGTAATGATTTAATTGGTCAAGCGGACCACGAAATTAGTGAATTTCATTATAAATTTAGTAACTTTGCAGGTCACTTTCTGTGTCGTTATTCGACAAGTAAATGCTTTAAAATGTCCCATAAATCAGAAAAATGATAATTTAAATTAATGCCAGCATGACAGGATGGATTGTTGTGTAGTCTTGGTAATTAAATAGTAATAAATAAACAATAAAAAAAAGTATATGTGTTAGGGGGGGTCAGTTTGTCCTGTTGACCTTCGGTATTTTTTAAATGGTAAATAGCGAGAAAAGGCGGACCAAGATATTTGTTGAAAAACACACAGGCACTTGTTGAAATCTTATTAGACAATTAAACAAATAAAACTAAATATATATTTTTATACGCAAGTTTTACGTTAAGAATATCAACGTTCTAGTTTAGGTAGACTCTCCTTGGTTTGTATGTCTGTATGTACAGGGTCTTACGAACCAAGTTACATAACCAGTTATGTAATGCATAATCTTTTAAATCCTGGCGTTGCGCTGAACCGTCTAATTTTATTCTTCCCTGGCGTGTTGAATTTTCCGTTTTTATAGTTTTAAATTGTGTTCGACTGCCGATTTACTACTGGGCCACGTAGGTGAATTATGAGTGGTTAAAAAATAGTATTGGCACGATGATTATTGTGTTATCTTGTTGTTTTGTAAAGCTTGGAATATTTTTTGTTTTGTTTTGTAAGAATTTACTTATGAAGTCTCGAATATGGATTATGCGACCAGGTGAAACCGGTGTAATATCAAAGTTCTGACCATGATTTATACATTCAAGGGGCGTTTTTGCTGATAAGGATTAAAACTAAAAAAAAGGCCTGGGAAGGCAAACAAATAATTCTGATAAGGACTCACGAGAGGTACGGCCTGCAGTACGTTCCGCATGTAGACTGACAATGAGCTGAATCGGCCCTCTCGTACAGTCGGCATATCGTCAAAACAGGTCTTCTGGAGTCAACCGCTGGCTGATAGGCTTGCCGAGCACGGACTGTACTGTATTAGGCTCAATTGATCGAGTAAAGTGTTAAAAAGTATCAACTAAGGTTAAAAACGTTATTCGTGCAGTTTTGAACAGAAAAAATAAAAATATTGAGTTCAACGGTTCTTTTAATTTCAAGGTCCCAAGGCAAAGTCGAACTTCGATTATGTGCTTCTTTTTTTATTTTTTATAGTCGATAAGTGCTGGGTCTGGTGCCGTTACCGGTTCCGGGGTTAAAGGACTCGAGGTCCCGATGTCCATTGAGTCGAGAAAACTGCCCACGGGGTGTTTGTACGCCCTGTAAATCGGGGTTGAGGTCAAGTAGAAGGGTTGACGTTCGCCGTCCTGGCAACCAGTGCGCCGACTCAACAATTTGGCAGAAAAGACAATCAAATTTAATGTATGTCTTCCGGTTAAAAATTATAACTTTTTTTTACTCATAAACTTTGGACGTGTGGTGATTAGTGACCGTTAATCGATAATTATTCAGAAATCGTGAGATGCGGTCTGGTGTGATGTTTCAGAAAAACATTTTCTTTATCGTGCCAACGTTTCGATCTTTATTGACATCATCTAGATTAACGGTTGTTATAAGTGAACAAGCGCTTCTAAAATCCACTCAAAAATTGAGTTCTGCTTCATACTTCGATAACGCCAGACGATCGTATGTCTATTGTCAGCCGAGATCTTGCTTTAGAGTGAAAGTCAGGCGGAATTGATTGAGATAATATTAACGTACAAATTGTATTTTATATAGCATTAAGATTATTTTGACCACTGCTCTATATGAGCCTTTCGATCTGTACGCTCAGCCTACTTTCTACCCGTAATAACACATTGTTGGATCTGCAGAAAAAAAAAGTAAAGCAAGGTTTAATTTCGTGAAATGTGCGGTCGCAGGGTAAAAATCAGCGTTATCAATTCTGATCACTGGTCTGGCTAGGACAGGAGTCTTAAGCGTTGCGGCTTCTTCAGACAGTCGGATAATTAATCGAAGATTCTGACTCTCAGGTGTCACAACGCCGAGACGGCAAACCGTGACGCCTCCCACCGCAGAACTGCAGCGAGAACAGGCGGACCGGAATGCGTCAAGCCGGATGCACTTCGCATTAATAAATTTTGAACAAAACATCCCGATTAATTTATATTGAAATTACATTTGAAATTTTTTTAAAAACAAATACGTTGTTTGAAAAATGCAGATTATTGTTTTTACCCAGGGGATTAATTGTGATACATTTCTTCCCGTCGAATTCTTTTTTTTTACATCAGCAGTATTTAAAGTGGATAATTGGTCGTAAAATAAATTCACCTCGCGTCATCTCAATTTACATTACTTCCTTTCGTTCCCTTGTTTCCTTTTTATTTTATTTCCCATGCCTTTGTTATTGTTTTGTTCTTTTTGAAAATATCCCAGTACCGAATGTTTTATCCAAGTTGAATCCGTTATTTACTCACTGTCGACTGGAATAGTTTAAAATTTTTAAAAAAGCCTTAGTTAGTTTTTAACAATAGGATTTAGAATAATAATCTTCAAATTTTTATCAATTTTTTTGATCGGAGAGCCTGAAACTTTTTGTAGCTTAAGTATGTCAATTTGCTTGGCTTAAACTTAAATTTTTAATACCACATTTCTTTAAAATAAAATAAAATAAACACATCTCACATCAACCAAAAAATTCCTTGGGAAAGTCCAAATTACCCAATTAAAAATAGTAATTATTATGCTTAAATTCGACGGAAGTGGTTTTTTTCCATTTCTCGCTTGATATCCTGTGTTTAAATTAAAAAAATAAACGTTTATATATTTTTTAAATCCTAGTTAAAAAAACTAAGTTCGAGGTGAGAGCGGATAGTTTTGTTAATTTTCTAGTAGTTCATGGTTTCATCTCTACAATCTAGCCCAAGGACCAACCTCTATTAAGCAACTAGTCAGTAATTATAAAACTATTTACAAATTGCCAATTAAAAGAACATAATTGGGATATCAAATGTCCATAATTACGGAACTGGTAAGAAAAGAAAACGTAATATGTTCAATATAAATTGAGCATTAAAAGATTTTAACCATTGGACATGGCTTAAATAACTATTAACCATCAATCGTTTATTTCAAATTAATGAAGGTTTTTAGTTGAGATAAAAAAGTCAATGGCACGAGCGGGATTCGAACCCACGATCTTCGGCTTGATACGCCTCTGTTCTACCACTTGAGCTATCGTGACCTCGATCCACTCGGACATCAACTTCGGAGGATCGAGGTCACGATAGCTCAAGTGGTAGAGCAGCGACGTATCAAGCCGAAGATCGTGTGTTCGAATCCTGCTCGTGCCATTGACTTTTTTTTATCTCAACTAAAAACATTAATTAATTGTAATATATTAATTGGTCAAGCGGACCACGAAATTAGTGAATTTATTTAAAATTTTTACCTGGTTGCTTAAAGGATTCTTGTTCATATCTTTTTATCAATTTAATTTATGTTCTACCAGATTTTAGTTGATTAACCTATTTTTAAATTTGATTTCTTTTTTGAAATAAAAATGCAATTGTATGACGAAGAATTTTGGTTTAAAGACAATTAGTGAGATGTCAGGGTTATAAGCAGGGTGAAACAATATAGTTACAAGTCAATAGGTTTGCATTTTAAAATCAAACCTTAATTTAAAAAAGGACAGTCATAGGCTTATAAGTTCCCCGATTGGATGTGAGTACCATTAACCCATTGTCGTGGCGTTAGGGTTATAAGCAGGGTGTTGAAACATCCCAATTCTGTAAAATTTACACGTAAATTGTGCACGGATATAGCTTGATTTCAGTTTATCTAGAGGAGAATTATATTTCTAACGAGGTTGCGGACTGATCCCGAATAACCGGATGTTAGGGTTATAAACAGGGGAAGGCGATAAAGCTCAACGTCAATACTATACCTGAAATTGTTTAGGTAAATTCAAAAAGCTTTGTGTTCAAGCAGATTTTCTTTATTTCATCATCATCAACCATCGTTAAAACAAAGTAGAATAGAACAACACAAAACGCACAATGTAGCGGCATTTTCTCGGCCGTTTTGAAAAGAATCACAATTTTTTTCTTTCAGAGTTGTTTCAGAAACTGCGATTAAATCTGGGCTACCTTTGACTATATTTTTTCCTTGCAGAATATGCTGAGTTTTCAATCTCCTTCAAATGGCCATTACATCCTGTCAAGGATCCCGTTATTTAATTTCATCTTCTTCTTTTGTAAAAGACTCCTGGAACGTTTCTGTGCCATTGGATAATCTCCAATATATGTTTTTATATTTGTAAGTTTTATCAAATTAAAGGAAAAATAAAGGCAAAACACGTTCACAATAATCAATTTTGTCCTGTAAGCCTCCCCTCCATGATTGATAAAATATCAGCTTTAAGATAAAAATTTTACATTATTATAAACTTTGTAGATTTCCTTGCACTGTGAAACCTAGAAATCATGACCATGAATATATATTTATATTCCAGACGTTTAAAAAAGTCTCTTCAAGCGCATCATGCAATTAATTGTTCTACTTTATTAAATTTTTTAAATAAATAGCTTAGGGCTTCAAGGTTGTTTTATATGTGCCAATAAAACTGGGCTAATGTATATAGTGATGACGATGATAATGGAAAATCAATTCATTCTTGTTTCTACCAACAGTTTACATTTATTCGGTTATATCACATTGCCTTATAAGTGTTTCATATTTGAAATTTATGTGTTGGCCCAAATGTGCCTAATCTACGTTGATCTCCTCACTGAGAGAAAAAAAAAGGGAAACTGACCCCTTCTTATTGTCGAAAGTGACCTAAAAAAGCCAGTGGCACGCATCCGCTAGCCCGAATCCTTTGGAACAATAAATCCCGTTACATAATTAATTTATGCAAAAGCCGACAACAAAATCGCAAGGTCGCTCGCACTGTGGAAAGTGTCGGAGTCAATCAGAGCGTAAAGGAGGCGAAAGCAAATGTGTCTCATTTTCCACCGGACCCTCAAGCACAGCGCGAGAAAGAGAGATGGAACAGAGACAATGGACTCCCAGGGAGGGACTCGAGGAATACTAACGAGGATGGAAGGCGCGGCTGTGAAATAGACAATCGAAAATATCCTTTCGATCCTTCGTAAAATCAATTTTAGAAAAATCGCATGATCTTCTGTGACAGACAATGCCCTTAATGCCATGGTTTCTTGCTTTCACAGATTAAATAAAGTACTTTTTCTTCTATTACCACCAGACCTTTCTAATCATATAAATTTTATATATTAAAACAAGTAACATTCTTATTTTCAGGCAACTGAAAACATTCTGCAACTTACGTACAAAATAAATAAGTCACATATGGCCAATGACCATCCACACCTGGAGTAGCTGAACTTTAGTAAAAACCCATTTAATTATATTAACTCCTAACGTAAAAACTATAAGAAAACACTGATATAAAGAGAACACTGCCAAAAACCTACCTTTTATAACTATTTAAACAAACACCTCATACAAAATCGAACCCATAGTCATGCCATCCATTTAGACTAACTGCACAGTATAAAAAAGTATAAAGGATAGATTATCTACTGGGGCACTCTCAATACGACAGACAAGAATGACACATCTACACGTAAAACAAACACTTTGAGCCCTGAAGATGATCTCAACAAAGAAAATGTTTTTCTAAACCCTACGCCACATCAGACTGCATCTCACGACCTCCAAACAAACATTGTTTTTAAAGATTCGAAGGGACTGATACCGAATTTATTTATGTTATGCACAGCTGCGGAGATTGAACTCTAACCCGTATTTGGTCCTGTGCTGTGAAGTACCAAATAATTACCAAATAATAATTAGGTATAGGCATAAAAGAGGCGGTCACAAGGCCTACTGTACCTATAACTCACTGGCCAGATTCAGGTTATTAATCAGCCTCCATAGCTTTGCCAGTGGCTCCTTAGTGTAGGATCTTGCTTGTGGTTTTTCTTGTTCTAGTTGCAAGAACTTGCACCTACATAGACCTTCACAGAAACATAGAATGTGTTCTGCGGTATCTTCCTGGCAGTATCTGCACAGTGTTTCTTCTGTACTCCTATCCAGTGCATGTGCTTCTTAAGTGGCAGTGCTCTGTCAGGAGTCCAACCAGAATACTGGTTTGGTTGCTGTTGCCTTCCAGTAATTCTTTTGTAAGTTTTGCGGGTGGTCCTTCTATAAATCTCTTCGCGTGCCTCATACCTGTGATATTATTCCACCAAGTTTTGTATTAAGGATACATTTTCCTAAGCCACAGTAGGGTTCAGGACCCAGAGAGTCCATTTTTGGCCTTTTCGTTGCCTCTATGCCCCGAATGTCCAGGGTCCCATGCAAGGGTCAGGACATTAGTGTCACTGACCTCCGTCAGGGCCTCCATGCGGTTCCAAACACTTTTTGCCTTTGCCTCGCATGATGCTGGGCCCTAAGTGCTGCCTTGCTGTCAGAGGAAATGTCTATCTTCCGGGATTGTATTTATGGTTTCAGATTGGAAAACCGCATTTATCTAGGTTTGAAACACCTTCATTAAAAAAGGATAGGGATAAAAGAGGCGGTCACAAGGCCTACTGCATCTCGACCTGAATAGATGTATTGTGCTCCCCTGTTTTTACATCTCACTGGCCAGCTTCAGGTTACTAATCAGCCTCCACAGCTTTGCCAGTGGCTCCTTAGTGTAGGATCTTGCTTGTGGTTTTTCTTCTCCTAGTTGCAAGAACATACACCTACATAGACCTTCACCGAAATATAGAATGTGTTCTGCGGTCTCCTCCTCTGGACAGTATCTGTACAGTGTTTCTTCTGTCTGTACTCCTATCGGGTGCACGTGCCTTCTTAAGTGGACGTGCCTTGTCAGGAGTCCAACCAGAATCCTGGTTCAGTTATGGTTGCCTTCCAATAATTCTTTTGTAAGTTTTGTCGATGGTCCTTTTATGAATCTCTTCCCGTGTCTCATACCTGTGGTATTATTCCAACAGGTTATGGACTTATTAGATCAATTTTAAGATGTATCCTCTTTTGTAGCAGGCTGTTAAGCCACAGTAGGGTTCAGGACGCAGAGAGTCCATGTCGGCCCTCTTTTTGGCCAACATGTCAACCTTTTAGTTGCCTCTATGACTCGAATGTCCAGGGACCCATGCCAGGGTCAGGTCATTAGTGTTACCCCATCAGGGCCTCCATGCAGTCCTAAACATTCCTAAACACGTCTCGCATGAAGCCCTAAATGCTGCCTGGCTGTCAAAGAAAATGGCTATGTTCCAGGAATATATTGCTAGCTTTTTTATTTCTCTGGCGCATTGTTCAATCGTTATGATTTCAGACTGGAAAACTGTAGTATATTTACCTAGGTTTACCGTCGGTTCGGTCTTTGGGTTCACCCCGAAGACTCCAGCTCTTGTACCCTTGTCGGTTTTGGAGCCATCAGTATACCAGTAGGAGTTTGCCTTTAGCGGCATTCCTTTAGCCCATTCTTTCCGTTCTGGTATCAGTACTTTGCACTTTTTAGTAAAGTTGTACTTTGGAGTAGTGGCATCAATTGGCATACCTAGGATGACATCTGCATGTATCTCCTCCCTCAGTTTCCATTGTTTATTTACATGGCCTATCCTAGCAGATGGTTGTCCATTTATGAGCCTGTGGGCTGCTGCTCAGGCTTCTCCTTGGATTAAGATGTGAAGTGGTGGGAAGTTTAACAAAACTTCCAGCGCTGCAGTTGGCGTTGCGGCACCAGTGACACTGAGACAAGCTTGTCTTTGAGTGGTACTTAATACCTTATTGCTTTGGCTTGAAGAGTTTTGGTCCACCACGTCGAAATAACAAGTAGTTGACGCTGGGGAACCCTAAAGCAAATATAAGACAATATCTCCGGGGAGTCAATGAAATTATTTAGGATCTTCCACAGAAACATAACGGAAGACAAAACACTGCTATCCGACATAGAATCCAGGTCTACTAGAGCAAGCTTGGCCTCTAGGGGCAATGATGGTACCTCCTGTGATTGCATATCTTGTAAAACGGTATTTAGTGTCCTTTCTATTATGTAAAACCCATCTAAAGAACCCGACGACCAAACAGCACTGGCATACACTAGGTGACTGCGCACTAGGGATTAAAAAATCAATGTTATTGCAAAAAGGTTCATAAAATCAACAGTTTGCCTGAGTACGAATCCTAAATTTTTAAACGCTTTACTCCGAATGGCAGGGATGTGGTCCCGAAAATCACAATTCCTATTAAAACAACCCCGAGATCCGAAATAGTATCTACCTCCTCAATGAACTTAAAATACTATGGACGAATTGGTCGTGTATGTTTTTCTTGGAGGTCTTCAAAATCTTACATTTATTTTTGTCCAGTTTGAAATTATTACGCGTACACCAATGCCAGAAGCCTCTCAAGTCATTTTGTAAGAGAAAGCAATCATTTATTGATTAAATAGGGCGGTAAATTTTCAAATCATCTGCTAATAGTGAAAATGAAGAATTAATAGGGGGCAGAGGCGACTTCATTAAAAAATAAAACCGAAATGATTTCGGAATAGAAAACACTGACTTCCAAGTACTCAAGATAACAATAGAACAATGATAAACTCGATGATAACAGTTCAGCAACCCTTAAGAAAAGTCAGATTGAACTTGATTTATGACTTTGGCAAATCTCACCCTTAAATTCCAAGGGTTGCTGCAAAGAAGATGCGTTTGCACGAGGAACGATTAACCCCCGTTTTTCCTTCTCTTGTAATCAAACGCGGACGTGTAAAGAAGCCGGAGAGAGTTTCGGGCAAATCCCCGGATAATCCAGGGTGTTTAACCGAGCAAGGGAAATCAAATTGGCCCCCCGAGGGGGAAATGGAATATTCGCGTGCACTCTTCTGCGCCCCACCGAAGAAAACCGCCGACGGATACCCGAGCCAGTCTGCCGTTGGAGTCAGACCGGGACGCATCAAAACAGGCCTGTGGATATTTAAAAAAAAGTACAAATAAAAGTTCGTAACTGATTGGTGAACAGTGTCGATATGGATTATTTCATCGATTTAATTTTTCGTAAGTTTTTCTTATTAAACAAATTTTGAAATACTGGGTTTATTTATTCTTCTAATTCTTTCTGCCTGTTTTTAACCCTTACGATCAATTTTTTATTTATCGAAAAAAATTTAGAGAAATTTCATGGTCCGATTGTCCAAATAACTTCTTTCAATTAATTAATCTTTTTAAGGTATTGTTTGAAATGAAAAAGTCGAGCGGGATTCGAACCCTAAGCCGAAGGTCGTGGGTTCGAATCCCGCTCGTGACACTAACTTTTTCATATCAACCAATACGTTACATACAAAGAAAAATTAGAGCGTTTTACCCAGATAATATTTGTTGCTACTAGGCATTATCAACAGAAAATTGTACAAAATATTATTGTTTATGTCAGATTTTTTCTGGTACGTTATGCAACAATTCTTATCAACATACTGTTTATATCCTATATTTTTATCTGTCTGAAATTTAAAAATATGAAAATGTGTACGCACCTTCACGAGGGGTATAAACAACGTTGCTAAATAATTGAATAAATATAAGAGAATATAAACCGGGCAGGCGAGAAACGCGGATGAAAAGCTCTATACAGATTAAGTTTTTCTTCGTTGTGCAACAATCCGACAGGCTGAATTTAAAAAAAAAAACCTTCAAAAATTTCAATTCTCCGGGTGAAAAGCGGCCTGTCAGAAATCCGAGCCTTGTTCTCTCAGGAATTCCGTCACGGTGCCAAGACAGGCACGTAACTTCCTATGCCGTACGTAAAATCGGAAGCAGGTTTTTTTTTAATTTCGAGTTTTAAGTAATTTCGAGGTTTATCTGCGACTGACTGCCTCGGTAGATCGCTTTTCAAAAAAAACGAAAATGGGCCGCAACGCGATTTGTGGACCGGCCAGTCGGAAAATAACTGTGTTCCATCTCGACGAACCAAAACCTGGGAAAAGTTCTGAAATTGTTGTGCTAAATAAGTCTTTAAGGACTACAATAACAAAACTAACATATCATTATTATCCGCAATATTTGCAATTATTCCTTAAAAATTTGGTCTTTCTTCTCTTTCCCGTGGATCGTGTAACGAACCGTCCATGAAGGGCAAATAAAAGTCAGGGGAAACATCTGTCCCAACTTGCATTTGCGCTAATAAGTTTGGCATTTTGTTCGAACAATGGACAATTTGCTGCATTAATAAAACGTCATCGGAATCGCTCATTGTCACCGGTCCGCCTGCCTTCGCTTGACGTCCTTAGATGTGACCATCATCGACAACATAACAGGTGGGAGTTTCTGCCCATTTCCTGCAAATTTTGAAATTAAAGCCAACAGACGTCTGATTTTGTGTAATATGGAATTGATTAATTAAACAAATCAATTAAATCAATTAATTAAATTTATTTATTCAGCTCGAAACATTTTCGTACCACCATTATTACTTGTTTTAATTCAAAAACCCGCAGTAGTAAATAAGAAAAAATTAATTTGCATTAATAAATTTCAAACTATGTAAACAAAGATGCCCCTACTCACTATATTTTTTTCTCTCTCTTTTTCTTTATATATCTATCCTTAACTATGTCTATCAATCAGCCTATATGTATATCCATCTATCCTCTATGTATGTACGTATTAATCCACATATACATCCATCCATCTATTTACATATTTATCCAACGAACCATCTATCTCTTTAACTATGTATTTATCCATCCATCCATCTATTTATCCATATATGGATTTATCTTCTGATCTATTCATTCATCTATCTGTCAATGTCTGTTTTTCTCAATCTGTCTAACATGTCCATCTAACTTTCTACTTATTTGTCCACTTATTATTACTATTTTTTCCCCATTCTTTATTTTCTTTCTTTCTCTCCCTTTCTCATTCTTTACATCTATTCTATCTATCTCGACGTGCAGGGATAGAATCTGCATATCTACCTACACTTATTTATACAACCATCCACCTATCTAACCTATCTCTATTATCTGTTTCATATACATTCATCCATCTTTCTATCATTATACAACCATCCACCCATCTATCTAATTAGCTATTCATCTATCTATGCATTTATCCATTTAGCCATCCATCCATCAATCTATGTATTTATCCATCAATCCATCTATCTATGGTTTTTCTTCGTATTTATCCATCCATCCATCCTAATTTATACATCTATCTACCTATCTCTTTTTATTCTATCTATCATTATACAACCAACCGTCCATCTATCTAGTTATTTACCTATCTATGTATTTATCCATATAACCATCCATCCATCCATTTACTATGTACGTATTTATCCATATATCTATCTATCAATTTATCTATCAATCTACATAGTGATCAATCAATCCATCTATTTATCTGGTTTTTTTAACCTGTTTATCCGCGCATCTATCCTAATTTATACATCTATCTACCTATCTCTATTTATCTGTTTTATATATATATATATATATGCATCCATCTTTCTATCTTTATACAACCATCCATCCGTCTATCTAGTTATTTATCTATCTAGCCATCCATCCATCCATCCATTTATCTATGTACATATTTATCCATCTAGTTATCCATCCATCCATTTATCTATGTACGTATTTATCCATATATCTATCTATCTATCTATCTACATAATGGTCAATCAATCCTACCATTTATCTATGTCTTTTCTACCTGTTTATCCACGCACCTATTCTAATTTATACATCTATCCACCTATCTCTATTTATTTGTTTCATATAAATTCATCCATCTTTCTATTTTTGTACGATCATCCATCCGTCCATCTACTTATTTATCTATCTAGCCATCCATCCATTTATCTATGTACGTATTTATCCATCTAGGCATCCATCTGTCCATTTATGTATGTACGTATTTATCCATATATCTATCTATCCATCAATTTATCTATCTATCTACATAGTGGTCAATCAATCCATCCGTTTATCTATGTTTTTCTACCTGTTTATCCACGCATCTATCTACCTATCTCTATTTATTTGTTTTATGTACATTCATCCATCTTTCTATCTTTGTACAATCATCCACCCATCTATCTAACTAGCTATTTATCTATCGATATATTTATCCATCCAACCTAATTTATACATCTATCTACTTATCTCTATTTATCTATTTTATATACATTCATTAATCTTTGTATCTTTATCAGTCTGTCTGTATGTTTATCTTTATCTACACCTCTCTTTCACCCTCCCTCTCTGGCCATATTATCATAATACAATACAAAAATTAACAATCTGTATTGATGATTAGGAAAGCATTGTTGTTTTGAGAACTGTTTGTGTTGTTATGCTTATGTGGAATTAAAATTAAACTATTAATACTCTTTTCACGTTTGTATTAAGAAAAAGAAGGAAAAGTGGGAAAAATAAATAGTGTCACAAGGTCAGGTTTGATAGTTTTGGCTGTTTCGTATTTGAACACTGTGTGTGTGTGTGTGTTTTTTTTTTGTGGATAATCCTCCGAACGCTTTACAACCCACGGGTCTGGTAACTTAGCGCGAATGCTTTTGTCACGGCTGTGCAAAATCCTTTAGGAAGTGGCCTACGAGGTGACGTCGCCTTGACATATTTATGCTGGCTTTCACCGGTAGGAAAAGGCGGGGAAATAGTGACATTATTTATAATTTTATGTTATCAAACTGGTTACTATTACATGGTGGTTTTTTGTGTGCATTTACTACATTTATCTATGCCAACTGACGTAACTTTGATCTTATTGTGTGATTTGATTACTTAATTGCTTCAAACTTAATTGAAACCTAAAGTATTCGTATCAAATAAGACTATCTTCGCTGTTACTCTACGTTTTCAGCCGTTTCAGAAAATATATTGCTAATGAGCATTTATTGATATGGATTATGTTTTACGGAATGGTTTGTAGTCACCGGTGACTTTCTTTGTTTTACCCTTTCATTATGAATCTCTTGTGAAACAATTTTTGCCCAGTAGAGAAATCGAGGAAATGGACAGCAATTAAACCGAGATTGACGGCGGAAAGGGGACTTCTGGTGGATTCGGCAGAATGACAACACGGACTTTGGAAAATTACGCCTTCTCAACTACGAAATTATAACTCCTCGACTGTCCACTTTATCTTTCGCCTATTAAAACATTCAACGCTTGGAAAAAAAATCTACCGAGAAGACAATTAGCAATTTGCACTGCAGCAGTGTACGTGGGTTAAAAAAGTCTACAAATGAAGAGTGCATTAAGCCCTAACTGTTCGTTTCACCAAAAGCGAAGAGGTTTGTTCATAGAAAAGAAAAAGTATCATCATGGGCTACAAGAAACTAAGAAGTTTCATTATTTCTGCAAAACTTTATAAAGTTAGCTGTTTGATTTGTATAATAATCAATCTACTAATTTAGAGGTAACATGACCTTTTAATTTCTTTACACTATGTTTGTTTATGGGTATGATGCAATTTAATGGACAACCCACAGGGAATAATTCATTCCTGATTAAACAATGGAACAATGTTAACTCTTTCCTGAATAATTTTCATTCTGATTTGTATGGAGCAAAGCCGTTTCCCCGTTGCATGTTGTTTCTGAATGATAATATCCGTATTCCTTACGCAATTGATCCTTTTTATTTTCCATACAGATATCCGCTTCTGGAGGTGCTCACCATCGAGGATGTTGTGACCAGTTGGGCCGGACATGCTGGACATGCCGCTCGCCTTGGGTCCAGAAGAGCTCCAGGGCGTCCTGCAGATCTGCGACCCGGCGTCCTCAGGATTCGTATCCATGGAATATTTCACACAGCTGGCTAGGGACCATTACGACAACCAGGTGGGCTGCTAATTAAAGGAAAGAAAAAACTATTCGGATCGATTCAATGAAATATAATAATGGGAAAGCCTTGTCCAAGGGAGTTTTCTGTGGGATTAGTTTCTTCGCTTAGTTTCAACAAAATTATAACCGTTCGTGTTTTGGCCTAAATCTTACTTAACTCGTCCCGAACCCTAACCCTACCTAATGCAATCTAACCTAACCGCCCCTTACCTTAACCTACCTAATGAAATCTAACCTAACCCGCCCCTTACCTTAACCTACCTAATGAAATCTAACGTAACCCGCCCCTTACCCTAACCTACCTAATGAAATCTAAACGAACCCGCCCCTTCCCTAACCTACCTAAAGAAATCTAACATAACCCGCTCCTTACCTTAACCTACCTAATGAAATCTAACCTAACCAGCCCCTTACTTTACCCTACCTAATGAAATCTAACCTAACCAGCCCCTTACCTTAACCTACCTAATGAAATCTAACCTAACTCAACTCGATCTAAACTAACCTCAACCATGCTTACTTCCCTGCATCAATCTCAAAAACAGCATAACAAAAAACTATGAATATGAATATTAATATGATATATGAATAGAATATGATATCGTTAAAGAATATTAAAATTTCATAAAATTCTCAATACGACAAACTATTTTTCTATTCTTAAATTATTATGATGATTCAAATATGTACAACCTAAATACTCTTTTTATTTTTTTCTCTCTCTCTATCTATCTCCATCTATCTATCTATCTCAAAAGTCAGACGTCAGGGTCATAAGCAGGGAAAAGCAATACTCGGGCAACTTCCATTAATATGTAATTTTTGACGGATGATAATAATCAATGTAACAACTGTTACGGTCTCTCTGTTATATCAGCGGATTTATCTCAAACGCATAACACTACAACTGAGGAAACATTAATCGTTAACCATTTGATATTTATGTAATTCATAGGTGCATAAGCTCGGTCATAACATAACGCCTTTCTGACCAACGGATAAAAGCGTAATGTTATAAATGTATTTTTTGCGAATGCAATTGTGTGGAAGTACGAAAGTAGGTCTAGAATTATGTCGATGATGTAGTTGGCTCGAGAGTTATGTACAATGAATGCAGGAATTTATGGTAATAAGCGCTTTGAGTAAGTTTTTAGTCTTCATGCTTTTTGATGGTAAAAGAACAATACTTTTTTATTAGGGTTATATTTTCGTGTTTGGTCATGTTAAATTATTACTTTTTCATAACCAAACACGTTCGATTTGGCGTAGTGGAAATAGAAAAGCCCCGGCCGAGAATGAGTTATTTCTGGTCGATTCTTATGATATGCAAGTCCTTGGAAAGGGAATCGATACAATAAACGATTCGGGCTTAATAACTGCTTAATTCGAGCGGCGCTACCTGAAAGCACTTTGTTCTTAGATAAAATATATTTGAGAAAGAGGCCAGTTCTTTTTGTGGCGTATCACACCACGCGTAGTGGAATTGCGTGACCCGATGGGAAAGTAACGAACTCATCCTCGAACGACTTCACTCATTCGGTTTACTGGTCTGCGAGTTTTCACCGAGAGGCCGGCACATATTGAGATTTAAGTTTTTCCCGGATGAAAGACGAAACTTTCACTATAGTCAACCTTACAGATGCTGTATCATTTTCCATTGTTGGCAAATCACAAAAGGGCGATCGGAAGGGGAATTTCCTCTGGCAGATAAAATAAGCGCTACGGCGAAAATTGTAGAAAAATTAGAAATAGAAAACAATAATTAAAAAATGCTGACCAGATAATAACCCTAGCAGTTCGTTTGGAATCACCTCAAAAAAATATCATAAACTTTTATGATTAATAAATACTAATCAAATATCGCACGGTCGTAACTATTTACTCCTAACTGGCCATCTCTGATCAGGGACCACATAAATAGAGGCAATTTAATCTTTATAAACTGTAAGGGGGTAGCGACCGTTTTTCAAAACAAAAAATACAATTATTTTTTAATGAATAATAAATAAATAATAATAATAATTTGTGGTGTTTAGTGACCGTTAGCCAATGGTTATTTGGAGATCGTAAGGTCTGGTGTGAAGTAGGTTTTAGAAAAACATTTCTTATCATGCCAACGTTTCGATCTTTATTGAGATCATCTTCAGGGCCTGTGATTTATAGTTTAAATTAAAAAAAAAAATTTATATAATACAAAAAAAATTTATATTAAAAAAATGAATTTATACAATGCTAAAAAATATTAGATTCAACAATTTTTTTTTGAATCTAAAATTTTCTAGCATTGTATAAATTCATTTTTTTAAATATAAAATTGTCTAGCATTGTATAAATTCATTTTTTTTCTCTATCATGCCAACGTTTCGACCTTTATTGAGATCATCTTCAGGACCTATGATTTACAAACAATGTTTAAATAAAAAAAAGAATTTATACAATACAAAAAAATTTTATATTAAAAAAAAATGAATTTATACAATGCTAAAAAATATTAGATTCAGAAATTTTTTTCTGAATCTAAAATTTTTTAGCATTGCATTAATTCATTTTTTTAATATAAAATTGTCTAGCATTGTATAAATTCATTTTTTTTCTTTTTCATGCCAACGTTTCGATCTTTATTGAGATCATCTTCAGGGCCTGGGATTTATAAACATTGTTTAAATAAAAAAAGCATTTATACAATGCTCAAAAATTTTAGATTAAAAAAATGAATTTATACGAAGCTAGAAAATTTGAGTTTCAGATTTTTTTTTATATTCTAAAATTTTCTAGCTTGGTATAAATTCATTTTTTTATGTAAAATTTTCTAGCATTGTATAAATTAATTTTTTTAATTTAAACAATGTTTATAAAAAAAGCATTTATACAATGCTCGAAAATTTTAGATAAAAAAATGAATTTATACCAAGCTAGAAAATTTTAGTATATAAAAAAAAATCTGAAACTCAAATTTTCTAGCTTCGTGTAAATTCATTTTTTTAAATTTAAACAATGTTTATAAATCCCAGGCCCTGAAGATGATCTCAATAAAGATCGAAACGTTGGCACGATAAAGAAAAGTTTTTCTAAAACCTACGTCAGACCAGACCGCACCTCACGATATCCAAATAATAATAATGTCGAAATTTTATAAGCTGGCAAACAGCTGAGATCATCGCCGTCCCTCTGTGTGTTTTTAGTTCTTTTTCTGGTCTTTCACGAATATTTTTTGGCCTGGAGCCATTTGTGCGTCTCGATCTGTTACTGACTCTGCTTTTATATGAAAAATAAGTCGATATAAAATGCTAGCTCCTCATTTGTAACTCAGGTGGTCAACTACAGAATAAATATAAAAATACAATACAACAAATATAAATAAATATATTGTATTGTATGTTTTATATATAATAATTTAAAAATCGCGTTTTTCACCTTTTATTTATTTATTTGTTTTGTTTTTGTTTAAACAACACCAAGGAGCGGACATTTTGTTAAAATATTAAAAGTATTTTATTTAATTTATTGCTATCTGTACAAAATATACATTGAGCAAATAGTTACAAACAAATCTGGAAGGGCTGTCAGAGCAGGAGGCAGTGGGGAGGGAAACCAACCAGTGCTGGAGCTCTCTTTGATTTTAAAATGAAGAGGTGTGATCGTCGCGGAAAATTAACGATTTTAAAAAAATTTAGAACCACTGGTTTCAAAATCTCTATAGGACAAATAAAACAAAAAGATTAGTCTAAATAGACCGAATGGATTTGGAAAAAATGTATCGAAAATGGCCAATTTTTGATCTTTCTTTCAACAACTATCTAATAATGGTAAAAGTGGCAAATGTTTAAAGTTTGAAGCTTAAACAGAAAACTCTCTTGAAAAAATAAATTCTTACCAAAATGAATCTCCCTGGAGTAGAAATGTAGTTTAAAAACCAAACCATGGTCAAAAAACCAGTTCTTCCAAAACAAACGAAACCCCTTAATAATTATAAAATATCTATAAAATAATAAAACTTTTGGTACTATTTCTATCCTAACTGGTCGTCTATGATCTGGAATCACTTACAAAAGAACAACTGCATTCTTGTAAGCTTAAAGAAGAAGAATAAATGCTAACCAAAATAACGTAAGTTAACACTATTTCCCATAGTGGTTGTCGATGATCTGGAGTCACTTAAAAAAAAGCTATTGCATTATTTTAAACCCCTTTCTTTTGTCAATTTGGAGACAAATAAAGTTGGACATTGATAGTCCTTGGGTGATGAGTCGGTGGTTTTTGACAGTTTTGACCGTACCATCTTCTGCTGTTCGCCCTGAAGATTTTACCCCACGACATGAAAACAGGCTGTTGTTATCTTGTTCAAATATCAAGTTACAGTTCATTTACAAAAGTTAGATTTATTTGTTGTTGCATTAACCGTTTAAACAATTTTGTTTGATATTGACAATACTATTTTCCTTTGATGCCATTCACCCTTGATAGTTGACGGTAAATTAATAAAAAAACATTGGTTTGATGGTCTTTGATGTCTCTCTTTTGGTCCTTCAAATAAAAAACTGTATTATACTTGTACTACCGATTAATACACTGTATGTATTACAATTGAAGGACAACTTATAATATTTCCAACTAGAGTATATTAAAAGTTGTTGGATATCGGAATAACCTCGAAAAAAGCATTGTTCGCTATATGGAAATAATCTTTATTGAAAGTCCATATTCGTGCAACTGGTGTTTTAGCCAAACTATCCGCAGGCAATGTAAAACAAAACCAAAATTTTCTGTGATGCAAGTACCATTGTGAAACGCCTCTTGTCATAAAAGGTCGCGTGCTAGAAAATCGAACGTTTTTTTGAAATTTAATACGAAATGCTTTTCCCCATATCACGCTCCAATTGGAGAAGCAGAAACGAACTGATGTTGGTAAGAAAAAAAATGAGTGCGGAACGGCTTGACCAAGAGCCGAAAAGCTAATTTGCACCATTTCGAGTGTTAATTGCTCTGCTGTTTCCTAA